CTTGATGGGCTGTTTTTCTGTTACAGTGCAAGCAACCTTATTCCTCAGATTTGCCAAACCCCAAACAATAGGACAAGTGTTAGACATCATGGCTCACCCCCTCTCCTAAGCTGGATACGCAGAAATGACAGAAACCAAATGAAAGTCAGGCTAGAAACAGGAAACATCTGCTCCTATTTGTCTCACCCCCTCTAAGACTTATCTTATTGCCCAATGCAGTGGATGTGCTGTGAATGAAAATCATATTGGAACAATAGCTTTGAGGGGATGCTTCACTTCATAACCTCCCTGGGATGTGCCTGTAAACTGTATCATCTGACTCTCTGGGAGTGTTTAATTACTAGTAAATGGTTTTTGCTGCGCTCTTTGTTTCATTCCTGAGTTGCTATGGGAGCTAAAAGTATAGCTGTTGCAGTGACAACTGATGTCTGCACAGTGGCTATCACAATAGAGGAAGGTTTGTTACTCATTATTTCTCCTTTGCAGCCTTTCAGGTTTATTAACATAAACCTTCTTACTGAATCTTCCTGTTGATTTATGAGCTGGTGCTTGAGCATCAGGAGATACCAGCACATTTCCCTTGAGAAGTTTGCTTTAAAGGGTAGCTGTGACAGTGCAGTAGTTGCTTCAGTTTTAGCTGTCCTTTTAGAGCTGATCTCAGCTTGGCAGGCCCTAGCAGTTTAACTGAGTTATAACACTTTCTTTACAAAGTTGTGAAGCCACTGTGATTTCTTGATTCTTCCTCAGCAAGCCAGTAAAAATCTTTGTTTTGCACAGAGTCTTAAGAGACACTGAGGATTTGAAATAGTTGGTTGAATATTTTTAGATGTAAACAGCCAAACCAGTTCTGCTAAGATGACCTATAATCTCCAGTCCATAAAAAAGTAACAAGTCCTTGTGTCTGCATCCAGGAGCAGCTGAGTATTCTCCCTTTGCACAAAATGTCCAGTGACCCCTAACAATCATGTTTTATCCTTTGGCCTTTTACAGTTGCTTTTATAGGGCTAGCTCATTTACAACCCCATTTGTCTCTGTTTAGTGCCATGGAGAAAATTAGGCAATTGACCATAAAGAAAAATTGTAAAATTGCCTACTTACTTGCTCTCTGCATTTATGATTGTGATGTTCTTGGTGCAAATTCTGTAAAGGTAAGATGTAATTGTATGTCTGATTTGGAATTGGGGTTTTGTCCATCTTTAAATTAAGATAATTTTTAACTTTTCATTGTATATATGATATCCAAAAAAGCTCAATAGTTGTATATTAAAAATTAAATCACATGAGTGTTTATTGTATTTCACTTCTGGACTGGCATAAGGAAACATGAATTAATTCAGAGGGGAGAATTTCTGTGACAAACTCTTTTACTACATAAATCTGTGTTAAACTTGAATATCCACAGTGCACTTTGGAAAGATGTGTCAATATTTTGTCTTTGTCACAACTGGAGTTTGATGGTTGTCTTGAAAACACAGCTTTTTGTTTCCAGAAGTGCTGCAGCGCAGTCCCTGTGGATCATGGCACTAAAGGGCAGTGTGTGCATGGCACATTTTGCTGCTTGTGCATGGCAAGGGGGGGATGTGCTGCAGGGGCTGCCCTGCCTGTTGTGGGGAATCCTAAGGATGCATTTTGAGCATCACCAACTCTTCCTACAATGCATGAGTTTTCCCTTCCTCACAGGTCCACCGTCTTATTATAGGATGTGAAAATTTGGGCCCTAATGTTCTGAATGATTCTGTCCTTCCATTTCTAGCTCATGCTCTGGAACCTTTTGCCACCCATCATGCTTCTGCTGGTGTGGTTCAATTATGCTTTAGTCTAGCAACAAGTTTATCCCTCTTAATTATCCATTCAAGGACCTTTTAAACTCCAAGGACCTTGGAGCCAGATGTCAAAATAATTGTGAGGTGGGACTTAAGTGGTGTTCAGTACTTCTGACTGGCTTTGCTTTTAGGCTGTATTGGTGAGTGTTGAGCATCTAGAAAGATGCTATATTGAGACTCATGACACTTTATTTTTAAATAAAATGGATTTAGGTGGGGAATTTTTAATTTAATTTTTAAATGGTTAAATATACCTCCAAGATTTGATATGAATGCCCTTCATAAAAAATATCAGATGCTTTGAGTACTTCTCACAGGCAGAGTATCTTTTGACTAGGAAAGATCTCAGAATGATTAATGGGTACTGCGTAAGTCTGTCCAGCCCTCTGACATGGAAGTTGCTCTCACAACCAAAGCATGATACATGGAAGAAAAATTAAAATTGATGGTGCTGATGAGAAAATGGGATCAAACAGAGTGAGTATGAATTTTTTCATTTTTCTCTTTGGAGATTTGCATACTTAAATTTTACTCTGAATACTGCAAACCATGTTCTTTTGTAAACTAAAATGCAAACTATGTGCAGTTCTTGTAGTCATGGATATTCTCATCCGTGTATTTGAATCATGAAAAAAAAATCTGAAAAAATCATGAATCATGAAAAAAAAATCTTTGATTAAATCTATGCTAGAAAATGAGCAATTTTCCAATTCCAGTTGGTCCAATTGCTAACTTCAGTCTGATCCTGAAAAGCTGAGAAGAGCAGAGAAAATCCTGGCAAGTATTTCACCTATACTACCTTTTCATTTCAATTTTTATGCTGAAAATAGTAATTCCTGTCAAAACCTGCCAGAAACTACCAAACAATACTCTAAGTACCTACAATACTCTGTAGGACTGCAAGTTATCCCATGAGCAGGTGGTCACTTCAAATCTCTTGCTAACATTGGCATGTGACAGAGATAGCATTTGCTTAGCAGAAAATTCAGGTAGAACACTTTTGCTTTACTATTGAGTCATAGGTCCTTAAATTGTATCTCATGCTGCTGGAAGTGCTTGTAGGACAGTGTAAGTTGTTTTTATGATGCCTGCCACTGCTGTATCTAAGTGCAAGAAATGGAGCTTCGTCCTGTGTGGGTAAGACTAACCTCTCACTTTTAGCTGCAGGTAAGGAGACAAAGAGAGAGGCAGTCGGATACCCTTTGGAGATCTGTGGGTAAAAACAGGACTGAACACCAGTATCCCAAGCCTGGTATTTAACAGAACAGCTACACTTTTGTCTGAATTGTTTGTTCAGAGTTTTGGGTTCCTCTCTACCAAGGCAGAGGACTGTTAGCTTTGACTTTAAGAATCAGCAGGCTTCAGCAGGCCCTGGCTTGAAGCCATTTAGAGACATTCCTGGTGCACTCTGTGTAATTTCAGCCTGATGGAAATGGCTGTAATGCAGTCCCACCTCTGCTGATCTTCAGGATTCCCCTGTCTGCAGCTTCTTGTGGTTGCTTTGAAAGTGAGTTATGTTTCCCATTAAAGGATAACAGGGACAATTGAGGCAATTACGTGGACTGGCTTGGAGCTAGCAGCACGAAGGGAGTTTTCCAACTGAAAACAGTGCTGCTCAAAGGTTCTTCCTGCAAGGTTGCCTGTTTGCTGTCTTCATTTGTCTGGAAAAGGATCCAGTAATTGTCCTTCAAATTTCCTTTAGTCATGCTAAATGCCTTTTTACTTGCATAAACAGGAAGTGCTCCTGCTCCAGAAAAGCATGATATCTCTGTGGTGACCATGGACAGAGATCAGTGCAACTTGGTTATGATTTTATTAGGTCTATAAACTTGTGTCAGTGCTCAGTGCCAGACTGTGTGGGAGGGATGTTGTAACTAAGAAAATTAGTAATTATTAGTCTAATTATTAAGTCACATCTATTAGATTTTTAACCTAAATTTCAGCTGTAGGGGGCTGGATAAAGGTCAAAGCTGGACCATTTGACAAATGAAGGTGTGAAGAACATGGGATATGCAGACCCACATGAGGTTTTCCATGTGTCATTATGAGGTGTGTTTTCTGTTGCATCCTGTGCTTTTAAGGATGAAGCTTATCTCTTCTAGCCCCTCCCCTCCATTCTGTGCAGTGATGGGAATGTGTAGAACTAAAAGCTTGGGACTGACTGAACAAAGTGCCACTTATGGATATCTAGCTGCCCAGTATGAATATCTTGTGCTCACCCAGGAGATAAGCCCATAATGCCTTGGAAAGATACCTGAGCTTTTCAAGCCACAGACTGTGTTCTCTCCCACATGTCCATCTATATATGTGCCATACACTCAAGAAAACCACTGTTTCTCACCTTCTCAGCTGGCTGTTTGTAAACTTACAGGTGCTTCTTTTGTGAAACTTGTCTTTGGAGGCAAGTGCCAGGTCTCAGCTGGGTGCTGGGCACAGTTAATGCTGGGTGCCTTCAGCTGAGGACTGATGGGAACAATAACTTCACACAAACAGGGAGGGGAAAAGGTTTGAAGGAGAAAAGACCGTAAAATGAGATCCAGGAATTCAGCAAGGCTACAGCAAAAGGAGCAGATTGCTAACTCAGAGCATCTGTCTTTGCCTTGTGAATAAGTTATGAACTGCAAAGCAAGAGAAAGTGGAAGATCCTTTCACAAATAATAAACACTTGTTTGTCTCAGATTAAATGCAACACCTTTACATGTGGGCTCCATCTGGCCATAAGTAGATGCACCTTGCATGGCTGTTACCTTCCTTGCCAATGAGAAGATTACTGAACATCCATCTGCTTAAAGGTTAATAACCTGCTTTTAAAAAGAGGAAGAAAAAATGGCAAATCTGTTTAGTTTACAGGAATAAAATATTGTTTTTCATTTAAACTGCCCGAACTTTGCTCTGCCTCAAAGTCATATTCTCCAGCAGAGAAGGAGCACGTTAACCTAGGAGTTGTAGCCACATCTCCCGGAGAGAAATTTTGCCATGTGTTTTAAATAACTCCTGTAGCTCCTCTTAAGAAAATGCAGCTTCAAGAAGAAAATGCACATTTCTAATCTGGGTTCTGCCACTATCTAGTTTAGAGCGAGGCTTNCCCTCTTTTTGAGGCAGCTCAGCTTACACTGCAGGCATGTTCAGAGGTATTGCACTGCTCTCTGTGCAAGGAGATTAATGTCCCTTCTGTTGATATTTGATAATATCTGGCGTGCCTTTCTACAGGTGACCCCACGAAAGAAGTTCAAATGTCCAGAATGCACAGCAATTGATGGGTTATCACTGGACCAGACACACATGGTGGAAAGGTGAGTGACCACTTTTTATTTCTCTGATTGCCTTGTTTTGATCCCTAGAATCTTATCCTGTGTCTCATTAAATTAGGATCAAAAATGATAGTGTTTTTATAAATTACTAATTTTGAAAGAATGTTACATGGATTTGATCAGCATAAGTCATTCCTATGATGAGTGATGTGTCACTGAAAAGTAGACTACTACAGAAAAGAACTTTGGACGGGGAAAATTTTTTAGCAGCTTTGCTGTAAAACTTATAGGACACATATATGAAGTTCAGGTTCTTGGTTGGCAGTACTGTCAGTAACACCACATTTCTGTTTGCTGTGGTGTATCAACTGTAATAAGTATGATTTTTTTTTAAACCAGACATTTGGTAGCTTACCAAAGAGCAGAAATTATATAAATTATTAATAAAATCATCTGAAGTGATATTTGTACATTGTCTTCTCTCCAAGGATTGTGAAGCACATTGCTTCCACTAGTGAAGGGCAGTTGCTGCCTAATTCCATGTTGCATTTTTTAACTATGGAATAAAGGGCTTTCCAGCCTTGACCAAGACACTAGGCTTCTCTCTGCCTTGGCTTCTGGATGTGTGAAATAAGGGAAAGTTTCTCCATTTTGCAAAGCTGTTCAATACCCATGTTTGAAATGGGTATCTGACAATAAATGTACATACTAGGTGCAATTAACCTGAGATTTAGGACTGATAAAGGTATCTCACCTGAGATTTAGGACTGATAAAGGTATCTCACTTTAGGCTTCTTGAGCTGTTGCAGCTCTCCTGCAAACTTTGCAAAAAAATTATTTGCGACCATAGAACTGATGGGGTAGGTAAGAAGGGGGAAGAAGTCACCAGAAGAAACAGACAGTTGGACTTGATGATCTTAAAGGTCTCTTCCACCACTGATGATTCTATGATTCCAGGAGGTGGCAAAAAAAAAATAAATCTGACCTGCATTTAAAATAAGCCATTTCAGATTTGCATGGTTATCTTACTAGTTATCATTTTAACAGTGAGCTTTTTTCTGTCCTCCTCTGCAGAACTCAGAAAATTTAATATGTTGTATGGGCTTTAATAAGGCAGGGTTAAAAAAAGGAGTATGCAACTCAGAAGTAAAATATACCCCATTAATATAGTAAAAATTGCTCTGCAGGAAAATACTTAAGAAAGGGGTGGGAAGTTTTGTAGATCTTAAATGTTAGCTTAAAAGGAAGCACAAGAGGTTCCCCCATATCTAGCAGTTCTGACCTGGCCTACGCAATGGTCTACCTGAAGCCAGTTAAGCTTTCCTATGGTCATAGTAGTAGTGCTACAACAACATGTAGGAATTTTAGTTATGAACTAGGTTCTCATTAAGGGAAATGCTATAGAAACAGATGAAAAAGTGCTCCTTGCATGTAAAGTGCATTATGATGCTGGGTAAAGGTCATGTTTCCATGTCTATAGCAGCTCTTGTATCCTCAGAATGAAGTGTCCTTGACGGCTTATTGAGAACATGTTTAAACTGTTGTTTTGCTTGTCTGTAATTTTGAAAAGTGGAGAATACTGAGTTGTGGGAAGTGTTAGATTGACTGCAAGTCTACATGCTTTTATGTGCCCAGCCAAAGAAGTACATGCTGAGATAGAGTCTGACTGCAGGAGAATCTGGAGATAGACAGTTTAGCTGTATTCAGACTTGATTTTGAAAATCCTTAATATCATACTGAAACTGCTTGCTACACTTAACGCCTTCTTGCCCTCTGTTATCATCTACCTAAATATAAAGGAATTACCTGAGAATCTGAAAAGGTTTCTTTTTTTGAATCTTAAGCTAGATAGTTATTTAAAATGGATAATAAATGGTAACAACTCCTAGAGGAAATTTCCATAACTTAGCTGTGAGTAAGGATCGATCGATCTGTCTGTCTGTCTGTGTATCTATCTATCTATCTATCTATCTATCTATCTATCTATTTATCAGTCTATCATCTACCTACCTACCTACCTATCTACCTATCTACCTAATCTATCCACTAACTATTTCAGGGTTAAGAGAGAAGCTGAATGGAAAAAAATGCATGAATCAGGGAGTCCATGTCATTATAAAGAATAACTTTGTACTGATAACTTAACAGTGTTTGGTATCAAGAACAATACCTGAGGTGTCAGGCAAAGAGCCATTATCAGCTTTATTTGCAGCTTCCCCAAGTGCCTGACTCATTGGTTTTTAGCATTCAGAAACAACAAACAGATAGTCTGAGCTAATTATTTGCCTGGATATCCAAGGATCAACCTACTGTTTGTGAAACAGTTTATCAGGGTTGTCACGTACATGTGCAACATTTAGTGTTGGGTTTCTGGTTCAGAAATAGCAGAGAGATGCCCAGCAACTGCCTGTTGGTTTTGTAAATGGAAAAGGTTTGAGAAGTCAGTTGTGAAGATCTGTCCAGGAGAGATATTTAACTAACTGGTTTTAGTGGGCATTTTGACTCGTTCAGTGGACATGAAGATGGTACTGTTTAACTCTGTCTCTTAATAAGAAATTTTATTCTTTTAGCAATACACTGAATCATGGGAAAGCCAACTCTGCTGTTCTTCCTGCTGTGTAATTTATTTGAGATAAATAGAAGACTTTAGTCCCCAGGGTTATCGAACTCCATCATTAAAATACATTAACTAAAGAAAGCTTTGAACCAAGAATTCCCTTCTTGCCCTAGGTTAGCCTTTACATCAAGTCACAGAAGAAACTGCAGGAAGGTCTCATAATCCCTGTATTTACAGGTGTTTCAGTAGCAACAAATCTACTGCCTTTAGCATCTTTGCATCTGGCTCTCAAAAATGGAAAATGCTGTAAAGATGCAATCTAGAAGGCATCTGCCAGTACAGTAAATATAGCAAAGGGCTGAGCTGCTTCTGCAGCCACAGTAACAGCAGTGTTTTATTTAGGACCTGTAAGTATTTGTCAGAATCAAAGTAGGAAGCCATTTCATTAAGAGGGAAACTGCCCAGGTCACAGTTGGCCAAAGTTGCAGGTACAGGGTTACCCTGCCAAAAAGTTAGTTGGGTTATAGAAGTGAGGAACCTGGTTAAGAGAGACCTTAACAAACACCAAGTTCAGCCGGGGACAATTGGGCTCTCAGTTTCTGAGTTCATACAATCTTAATGTCTTATTGAGCTGAGCATGACTGCATGTTGTCAGTAAAGAAAGGAAAACAAAAAAATTCTTGGAAGCAAACCTGCCTCTGTTACTTTGAATTTGCAAAACTATTGACACAATTAAGAGAAACACCTTCCCCTCTGTATTGAGATTACATTACATTCTTTTGGTTACCTAGCTTTCACTGTTTAATGTTCTAGATATCCTTTCTGGTTTATATTGTCCAAAAGTGGCAAGGACTTCAGAAAACAAGTGATTTAGTTCAGTGCCAGAGATGAAATTTTTGGAAAACAGTGTCTTTCTTTCAAACACTTTTTGCATTTGAAAACACATTTTGTGGCTTGCGCATGGCATTTCTTTCCTTTAAAAAAGCCTGTTTCTGACCTTTGAATTTGGTATTTATTTGTGGAGGGCTAACTTCTGCTTCAGCCAGAGTGTTTAGAACATACTAATTTTTCCATTTTTAATTTTTTCCATTTCTTTAACAATGAAGTGGTTTCTTGGTGGTTAAAGATATTGTACTGGCAGGCTTAAATGGACTTGCCACCAAAATAAGTTTGGCTGTAGAAGGATCCCATCTTGATATTTTGTCATAAGACCTCACTTTTGATTTGGAAGTATAACCTCTGGAGGGAAGAGGTCAACTTTGTCTGCCCTATCCATTTAGTTTTGTCTTTTGCTCTGAGGGTGCCACTTAGTTCCGGTTGTGACAATGGCTGGTCTGATGTGGACACCTGCCTATCAGGCAGTAGGCTGAGATAACTAATTCATTTCACACCAGCCACCAAGCAGCTGTTACATTACAATGTCTTTCAGTCATTACTGGCAAAGGCAGGATTTGAACCAGTAGACTAAAAGTATTCTTGTATTCCAGAAACCAGTGAAGGCCAGCAGCTGTGCAAACTTCTCACATGCACATCTCCCAGTGCATCTACCTCCTTGCCTGTGAAGTTTGTGGGTTTCCTGCCAGGAGGCTTCTCCAATACACATCATAGATTAGTTAACCAGATTTCTTACAAGTAACAGATTATTTGAAAGTCTGACTTTATCTAAAAATCAGATGCTTTTAAGATATCTCACCATGGGCATCCTGTGGAAGTAACAGAAACTGCTTAATGTTCCTGAAGAAAACACTCAGTTCCTGCTGTTTGCAGGAACTACTGCAACCTTTCAGTGCCTGAGGTCCAAATCTCATTCTCTTGATGGTTCACCTTGGGGTCTTCACTTCAGTCCTTACTGTTGACTCCTTTGCTATTTCAGATCTGTGCTACACTGGAGTAGATAGTGCTTCTCACAGGAGTAGAGGTGTCCCACTGCACATGCTTTTCTCTTACACTCTGAATTCCTTTTCTTTTGTTTGTGGCCCAAATAATTTGAATCTGAAGACAGGAAGGTATGAGGTAGAACAAAGTACAAAAGGATGGGAAGGTAGCAGAAAGTGAAACATCTGCATTTACCTGTATAAATATTTTATTCAGGTATCACTTAATATGAACTAGTTTTCTGATACTTTTCTCAGGGCAGAAAAGGGTCTGAATTATGACCACTATAGCTTGAAACAGCTATGTGGTTGAGGGAATAATTTTGAAAACTGCCCTTGCTGTCCCGTCTACTTCAAAAGAGTGTTTGGGGCAGTGTTGAGCAGTCCCCATCACAGAACTGTCACACTCAGTTGGTGTGATTGACCAGGTCCTGATGAGGAAAATTATCCTGGAGCCATAGTGACCCCCTAACCCTTCGAAGGGGTCGGGAGAGGGTGCAGTGGTTGGAGAGCGAGAGACCTGCTCTGCGACCGCCTGCAGCACATCAGTCTCTGTAGCTGAGCCAAAGTGCTCACTTCCTATTTTGTTTTCCCTTTTGAATGGCAAAAGAAATGTCACCTGTTTTCTTGTAGCCCTCTGTTATGTGTAGGGAACTGTTGTCATGGTTCTTAGTATCTAAATTTCTTAAAAGCTGTTTTATGTAGCAGGCAGCTAATGTTAGCTGAGCACTGGCTGAGGTGAGATGAGCCAGGTTTTCTCTGCCTTGCTTCCATAGGTACAGCACCCTTCAGTTAGAGAGTTAAAGGAGCAGTGTAACAGTTAAACATCTGCTTGCTTGTTTCTTGAAGAGCATGGCATGGTTGTTCCTTTCCACGTTACTGATATCTGAGATTATTAAAAGTGAAAGAGTCATCATTAGTCCAGTTTTTTTTTTGTTAATGTGATGTCTTATTGCTCAATATATCTTTATTTAGATGAGGAAAATAAACTAGTTAGTTTGTTTAATTTTATAGTTTTAGTTCATCTTCACCTTTAAGTTACAGTACAATCAGCTCTGCCTGTTCTCTGAGGCATGTTTATTTTTTTTGTGGGAAAAGATAGAGCTTCTGAAGAAGCCTGAAAAAAGACAGATTTTTTTTTTTTTAGAACTCTGTTTTCACAAAGCCTTGGTTTTTGCAAAACCTTCGTTATACACTAAATTGACCCAACAGTGGCCCTTTAAGAGACATGTTGGCAGTTAATCTGTTCTGGTTTACAGCATGTACATTGCTTTAAGAATGACTGGAATTCTAGGGGGAGGGAGAAGGGAAGCTTTGACCTCCATGTGCACATGTGCTGCTGCCAGCATCCCCTTGCTCGTCTCTGTGATTAAATGGATAAATCAAAGAACACCAGCTTCTTTTTCTGTTCTTTCTGCAGTGAGGCTCTCTTTTTATTTATTAGTAGCCAGCATGGCTGAAATACTTCCAAGTGCAAGAGGGAAGGCTTATACCAGTTATTTTGGTGTGGGAGTTGGTAGCCAGCCCAGTTGTTGGAGTTCTAAATTATACCGCTTTCTTTTTCACCAGATCTGAATGCATCAATAAGTTTGCCTCTGTCTTTGGGACCATGCCTCTCAAAGTGGTGGAACATCGTGCTGACCCCGTCCTTTACAAAGATGACTTTCCTGAGAAACTGAAGAGCTTTCCCAATATTGGCAGCTTATAAAGAGAGAGACAAACCTCAGTGAGGAAAACAACAGCTGAAAAGGTGCTATGAGGAATAAGGCCCTGAGACAAAGCTTGCTGGAGAGTGGGTTGCATCTGAGGGAGATGGGAATTAATGTTGTTGTCTTCCTTTTGCATTGCACAAAGTTGTAACTGAAATCTGAACAACTGCTTCTCTGTTGCTCACAGAGAATTGAATCTATTTGCGGGTTCTCCAAAAAATGTCAAACGCTTTGACATTTTTGTCCAAAGGAGGCTATGCACCTGAAGAATAAAAAAGAATCTGGCTCTCTGGTCTGACTGGCATGACCTCTTCTATCAAATGTGCTGCAAGCTCTCTGCTTAGTGAGCATCCATCCATTGAAAGCAACTGTCTGCAATGTAGAGCTGTTCTCTTTTGGGAGGAGTTGATTTCCTGTGTGGCTGGTGGGCCTCTGTCTTTTGAGCTTTAACTGTTGTCTTAAGTAACTGTGAAACAAATATTTTCTTCTGTAATATGAGACAAATGTTTATTTTTTTACAACACCACAAATGAAAATCTGTTCTCACCTAGTTTAAAGAGCAAAGCATTTTGTGTTACTTAAATTATTTTGATGGAGATGGAGACACAGCAGCTGGGAGGATACTCTCCTTCAAAGCAGAGACCTGCAGGACAGAACTGCAATTGCTGCACTTTCTGTGTAAATCTCAGGTTTTCTGCTGCACTCATGCAAAAGACTCAGACTCTATATCAGAACTAGTTGTATTATGCAGAAAATTATTTGTCTTTAGCCTTCTTATATTTTTTATTTTCATTATCAAACCAGCAATCAAGTTACAGTTTTATATTATAGCCATCCATAGGGATGAAGTATGAAATAAATTTTTAATGTCTGAATCCTCTTCAGGAAGCAGCTTACTAATCTGTAAAACACCTATATTTTCAGAAATTCCTAGTTCAAGCTTCAATGTACAGGCAAGTGTGTATGTGTAAGACACTGTTAGCGCACACTTACAAACTCCTGTAAGTTACCACTGTTGGAAAAACTATTGTGTCTTTGCTTGTAATTTAAGGAACCCATTGCCACAGGCTGAAACATACAGCTTTAGGAAGTCCTTTGGAGAAGATTTATGTTTCTCAGAGGCATTTGAATTGTTTCACCATACTGAAATGAACCTCAATGAGAAAACTAAATGCAACAAAATTAGAAATAAAGTTGCCTGGACTGTTACACTTGCCCTTCAGTATTAATAGGGGTCCTAAATTGTGCTGGGAAAGTAATCTCTTTTCCAGCTCCACTGATAAAATGTTTGTTACTAGATAAGTGTAATTTCACTGTTTTTGGAACCTCTGTTGCTGCTGGTTACAGACACATCCTACTTGATGGGCTGTTTTTCTGTTACAGTGCAAGCAACCTTATTCCTCAGATTTGCCAAACCCCAAACAATAGGACAAGTGTTAGACATCATGGCTCACCCCCTCTCCTAAGCTGGATACGCAGAAATGACAGAAACCAAATGAAAGTCAGGCTAGAAACAGGAAACATCTGCTCCTATTTGTCTCACCCCCTCTAAGACTTATCTTATTGCCCAATGCAGTGGATGTGCTGTGAATGAAAATCATATTGGAACAATAGCTTTGAGGGGATGCTTCACTTCATAACCTCCCTGGGATGTGCCTGTAAACTGTATCATCTGACTCTCTGGGAGTGTTTAATTACTAGTAAATGGTTTTTGCTGCGCTCTTTGTTTCATTCCTGAGTTGCTATGGGAGCTAAAAGTATAGCTGTTGCAGTGACAACTGATGTCTGCACAGTGGCTATCACAATAGAGGAAGGTTTGTTACTCATTATTTCTCCTTTGCAGCCTTTCAGGTTTATTAACATAAACCTTCTTACTGAATCTTCCTGTTGATTTATGAGCTGGTGCTTGAGCATCAGGAGATACCAGCACATTTCCCTTGAGAAGTTTGCTTTAAAGGGTAGCTGTGACAGTGCAGTAGTTGCTTCAGTTTTAGCTGTCCTTTTAGAGCTGATCTCAGCTTGGCAGGCCCTAGCAGTTTAACTGAGTTATAACACTTTCTTTACAAAGTTGTGAAGCCACTGTGATTTCTTGATTCTTCCTCAGCAAGCCAGTAAAAATCTTTGTTTTGCACAGAGTCTTAAGAGACACTGAGGATTTGAAATAGTTGGTTGAATATTTTTAGATGTAAACAGCCAAACCAGTTCTGCTAAGATGACCTATAATCTCCAGTCCATAAAAAAGTAACAAGTCCTTGTGTCTGCATCCAGGAGCAGCTGAGTATTCTCCCTTTGCACAAAATGTCCAGTGACCCCTAACAATCATGTTTTATCCTTTGGCCTTTTACAGTTGCTTTTATAGGGCTAGCTCATTTACAACCCCATTTGTCTCTGTTTAGTGCCATGGAGAAAATTAGGCAATTGACCATAAAGAAAAATTGTAAAATTGCCTACTTACTTGCTCTCTGCATTTATGATTGTGATGTTCTTGGTGCAAATTCTGTAAAGGTAAGATGTAATTGTATGTCTGATTTGGAATTGGGGTTTTGTCCATCTTTAAATTAAGATAATTTTTAACTTTTCATTGTATATATGATATCCAAAAAAGCTCAATAGTTGTATATTAAAAATTAAATCACATGAGTGTTTATTGTATTTCACTTCTGGACTGGCATAAGGAAACATGAATTAATTCAGAGGGGAGAATTTCTGTGACAAACTCTTTTACTACATAAATCTGTGTTAAACTTGAATATCCACAGTGCACTTTGGAAAGATGTGTCAATATTTTGTCTTTGTCACAACTGGAGTTTGATGGTTGTCTTGAAAACACAGCTTTTTGTTTCCAGAAGTGCTGCAGCGCAGTCCCTGTGGATCATGGCACTAAAGGGCAGTGTGTGCATGGCACATTTTGCTGCTTGTGCATGGCAAGGGGGGGATGTGCTGCAGGGGCTGCCCTGCCTGTTGTGGGGAATCCTAAGGATGCATTTTGAGCATCACCAACTCTTCCTACAATGCATGAGTTTTCCCTTCCTCACAGGTCCACCGTCTTATTATAGGATGTGAAAATTTGGGCCCTAATGTTCTGAATGATTCTGTCCTTCCATTTCTAGCTCATGCTCTGGAACCTTTTGCCACCCATCATGCTTCTGCTGGTGTGGTTCAATTATGCTTTAGTCTAGCAACAAGTTTATCCCTCTTAATTATCCATTCAAGGACCTTTTAAACTCCAAGGACCTTGGAGCCAGATGTCAAAATAATTGTGAGGTGGGACTTAAGTGGTGTTCAGTACTTCTGACTGGCTTTGCTTTTAGGCTGTATTGGTGAGTGTTGAGCATCTAGAAAGATGCTATATTGAGACTCATGACACTTTATTTTTAAATAAAATGGATTTAGGTGGGGAATTTTTAATTTAATTTTTAAATGGTTAAATATACCTCCAAGATTTGATATGAATGCCCTTCATAAAAAATATCAGATGCTTTGAGTACTTCTCACAGGCAGAGTATCTTTTGACTAGGAAAGATCTCAGAATGATTAATGGGTACTGCGTAAGTCTGTCCAGCCCTCTGACATGGAAGTTGCTCTCACAACCAAAGCATGATACATGGAAGAAAAATTAAAATTGATGGTGCTGATGAGAAAATGGGATCAAACAGAGTGAGTATGAATTTTTTCATTTTTCTCTTTGGAGATTTGCATACTTAAATTTTACTCTGAATACTGCAAACCATGTTCTTTTGTAAACTAAAATGCAAACTATGTGCAGTTCTTGTAGTCATGGATATTCTCATCCGTGTATTTGAATCATGAAAAAAAAATCTGAAAAAATCATGAATCATGAAAAAAAAATCTTTGATTAAATCTATGCTAGAAAATGAGCAATTTTCCAATTCCAGTTGGTCCAATTGCTAACTTCAGTCTGATCCTGAAAAGCTGAGAAGAGCAGAGAAAATCCTGGCAAGTATTTCACCTATACTACCTTTTCATTTCAATTTTTATGCTGAAAATAGTAATTCCTGTCAAAACCTGCCAGAAACTACCAAACAATACTCTAAGTACCTACAATACTCTGTAGGACTGCAAGTTATCCCATGAGCAGGTGGTCACTTCAAATCTCTTGCTAACATTGGCATGTGACAGAGATAGCATTTGCTTAGCAGAAAATTCAGGTAGAACACTTTTGCTTTACTATTGAGTCATAGGTCCTTAAATTGTATCTCATGCTGCTGGAAGTGCTTGTAGGACAGTGTAAGTTGTTTTTATGATGCCTGCCACTGCTGTATCTAAGTGCAAGAAATGGAGCTTCGTCCTGTGTGGGTAAGACTAACCTCTCACTTTTAGCTGCAGGTAAGGAGACAAAGAGAGAGGCAGTCGGATACCCTTTGGAGATCTGTGGGTAAAAACAGGACTGAACACCAGTATCCCAAGCCTGGTATTTAACAGAACAGCTACACTTTTGTCTGAATTGTTTGTTCAGAGTTTTGGGTTCCTCTCTACCAAGGCAGAGGACTGTTAGCTTTGACTTTAAGAATCAGCAGGCTTCAGCAGGCCCTGGCTTGAAGCCATTTAGAGACATTCCTGGTGCACTCTGTGTAATTTCAGCCTGATGGAAATGGCTGTAATGCAGTCCCACCTCTGCTGATCTTCAGGATTCCCCTGTCTGCAGCTTCTTGTGGTTGCTTTGAAAGTGAGTTATGTTTCCCATTAAAGGATAACAGGGACAATTGAGGCAATTACGTGGACTGGCTTGGAGCTAGCAGCACGAAGGGAGTTTTCCAACTGAAAACAGTGCTGCTCAAAGGTTCTTCCTGCAAGGTTGCCTGTTTGCTGTCTTCATTTGTCTGGAAAAGGATCCAGTAATTGTCCTTCAAATTTCCTTTAGTCATGCTAAATGCCTTTTTACTTGCATAAACAGGAAGTGCTCCTGCTCCAGAAAAGCATGATATCTCTGTGGTGACCATGGACAGAGATCAGTGCAACTTGGTTATGATTTTATTAGGTCTATAAACTTGTGTCAGTGCTCAGTGCCAGACTGTGTGGGAGGGATGTTGTAACTAAGAAAATTAGTAATTATTAGTCTAATTATTAAGTCACATCTATTAGATTTTTAACCTAAATTTCAGCTGTAGGGGGCTGGATAAAGGTCAAAGCTGGACCATTTGACAAATGAAGGTGTGAAGAACATGGGATATGCAGACCCACATGAGGTTTTCCATGTGTCATTATGAGGTGTGTTTTCTGTTGCATCCTGTGCTTTTAAGGATGAAGCTTATCTCTTCTAGCCCCTCCCCTCCATTCTGTGCAGTGATGGGAATGTGTAGAACTAAAAGCTTGGGACTGACTGAACAAAGTGCCACTTATGGATATCTAGCTGCCCAGTATGAATATCTTGTGCTCACCCAGGAGATAAGCCCATAATGCCTTGGAAAGATACCTGAGCTTTTCAAGCCACAGACTGTGTTCTCTCCCACATGTCCATCTATATATGTGCCATACACTCAAGAAAACCACTGTTTCTCACCTTCTCAGCTGGCTGTTTGTAAACTTACAGGTGCTTCTTTTGTGAAACTTGTCTTTGGAGGCAAGTGCCAGGTCTCAGCTGGGTGCTGGGCACAGTTAATGCTGGGTGCCTTCAGCTGAGGACTGATGGGAACAATAACTTCACACAAACAGGGAGGGGAAAAGGTTTGAAGGAGAAAAGACCGTAAAATGAGATCCAGGAATTCAGCAAGGCTACAGCAAAAGGAGCAGATTGCTAACTCAGAGCATCTGTCTTTGCCTTGTGAATAAGTTATGAACTGCAAAGCAAGAGAAAGTGGAAGATCCTTTCACAAATAATAAACACTTGTTTGTCTCAGATTAAATGCAACACCTTTACATGTGGGCTCCATCTGGCCATAAGTAGATGCACCTTGCATGGCTGTTACCTTCCTTGCCAATGAGAAGATTACTGAACATCCATCTGCTTAAAGGTTAATAACCTGCTTTTAAAAAGAGGAAGAAAAAATGGCAAATCTGTTTAGTTTACAGGAATAAAATATTGTTTTTCATTTAAACTGCCCGAACTTTGCTCTGCCTCAAAGTCATATTCTCCAGCAGAGAAGGAGCACGTTAACCTAGGAGTTGTAGCCACATCTCCCGGAGAGAAATTTTGCCATGTGTTTTAAATAACTCCTGTAGCTCCTCTTAAGAAAATGCAGCTTCAAGAAGAAAATGCACATTTCTAATCTGGGTTCTGCCACTATCTAGTTTAGAGCGAGGCTTTTTGGTTCTTTGGCATCATTTAGGCCAGGAGCAATTTCTGATGTAAACCCATACAAGCAGGATGTTACTGAAACTGGCTTTAGGCTCTCAACACTCTGAACTCTGCCAACATCTGGAGAATCTGGCTTTGAGTGCTTGGGGAGGGAAGGAATTTTTCTCCTACAAGTGAGAGGAATGGATAAGCTTGCAACAGTACCCGCATTATCCATTTCTTTGTGAGATAGAAAACAGCCATGCACCATCTGAAGCAAGTCGATGCTCCCAGACAACTGATGGAAAGGCCAGAGGGGCTCTGTGGTTCTCTGTGGGCTGCTGGGTGCTGGGTGCTGGGCACCTTCTCAGCTTTGCCTGAACAAGAAAGGCCCTTTCCAGTCCACCCAGCATCTGGGTTTGGGGACTTGACTCTTACTGGTCCCAGTGCTGGTGGGTTTGCAGTTGTGTTTATTGATGGAGTACAAGCAATAGAAAGGGCCCTCACAGAACCCAGATTTCCCTGCCGTGGGACAAGAGCTGTGCGCTGTGAATTGGTGGGGCCCAGAAAAACCTTTCCCTTTGTGTGGGGACAGGTGAAACCCAGAGGGCTCAGTCTGCCCCACAGCCCACTGAGCAGCTTCTGGCTGCAGGCAGGCACCTCTGGGAAACCCTGCGGAGCCACAGGAGGAGAGGGTGGGTGAGGCTTGGACATCTGTGCTAATGTGAAGCTAGGAGGGGAGGGAGTGTGATGATCTGTGGGAATATGGGAAACACTGCCAGCCCCAGGTGTCTTCTCCTATAGCTTCAAGAGACCTTGTGCTCGGTGCCCCGAGCATGACTGTGCTGTGTGAAAGGGGTGGGGAGCTGAGGGTCCCCAGTTCTGTGGCCTCTTGTTGCCAAGTCAACTTGTCCCTGAGTCAGCTGTGATTACAGGCTGCCTTGTTAAGGACTGCTTGAGGAGGGCTGGGAGACCTGCAGGAGCCCTGTGAGCCTTAAGCTCTGCTGGAAGCAGCAACTCCAGAGCAGTAAGCAAAGGAGAGCATCTTGCTGTCTGCCCTGTGGCCCCCTGTGCTGGCCAGTGAGGAAGCCAAGAGATGCTGAGCGCTCCTGGAGGCAGCGAAGCCTCGCTAGCCAGGAGCCGGCTGGCAGGACGCTCCTGTGCCCGGCTGCTGCCTCTGCACCATCCCTGTACGGGAGAGGCAGCAGCCCCTGAGCTGCCACCTGTTGTTAATCTACCCCCGGCTAATCCATTCTGGACTGCGTCAGCAGTTCAAAAGGGCACTGTTAGTATTTTTTGCCAGCTTCAATTAACGTGAGATTTTGGAGGCCCCTCTGATCACATTTCATCTGTCATGAGTCAGGAACAAACCAGCCAGATTGCAGTTGAGAGGAGAGAAGAGAAGGAGTTTATTGCAAACCAAAACAACAACAGTGTTTGTGCCCCTTTGGCCAGGGTGGCTGGGAAGCAGGGACCTTCCCAGTGATGCCACTCCTTTCAAAACCTGGAAAAATAAAAATTATTAACTGGAAATGCCAGCCCTTCACCTCCAAAAAAAAAAAAAAAAAAAAAAAAAAAAAAGAAAAAAAAAGAAAAATTAAAAAAAAAGAAAAAGCTGCAAGTGCAATAACTTATTTCAAAAATTTAAAAAGAATCAAGCTGCAAGACTGTTTGTTCCTTTTTAATATTCCACTGTAATGAACTGGTAATACATGGTTGCATAGGCAATAACATTGCATGGCACAAACCTCATGTGTCAACATTTTAAATGACTTTTTTTTATTCTTTTTTTTTCCTGACCATTTTTAAAACTTTTTTATTTTTTTTATATGTTCTACCCCAGGCCATTAAGCTAAAAAGAGAGAAAAAAAAAAAGTAGCATTTATACAAGGTTACAATATTTTACAACAAAAAACAATATTGATTGAGGTTTGTTTTCTTTTCTTTCTCCCAGTCTCTCTTTCAAGCACTGCACACCTAAACTGATATATTATTATACATTGAAAACTGTCCTTCAAAATCAGTAGTATAAAAGTCCTAGCTCTACCTACCTACCTAGCTATGTGGGGGGAGTGGAGAACCATGGAACCGTGTTACCAGCAAAGAGTTAAGGGGCTGTAAGGCCGCTCCCTCACCTCCTCCCAGCTCCCTTCGGGAAACTGCAAAGGGCTGAATGACTTTCCCTCCGATTCTACCCCCTTCCCATTTGGGTTTAATTTCTCCCTCGGTCTGTTTGCTTTTTGCTGTGTCAGTCAGAGCAGCAAAATAAACACGGGGCTCTGCCTCTGCTTGATTATTTTTCAATCCTTTTCCAAGAAACTACCTTTTTGCATTAGTTTGTTTGGAGAGTGTTTTACAATGTGCTGCCAGGTTTGAGTGTACTGTGGGAATCAAGGGAATGCGCCTCCCCGTCCCAAAACACCTCCAGTGCAGGAGGAAAGCAGCAGGCAGCCCTGCTCGGCAGCACACGGGGTTCTCCTGGCCCGGGTTGGTGATGTGTCCCCTTGGCCGAAGGGACAGGTGAAGCCATGTGTGCTGCAGCTCTGTGCCCTCACATGTGACACATTGTCACTGCCTGTGGCCCTACATTGTCACTGTCTGTGGCCCTTCCCTAACAGCCTGCTCATGCTGGCGGCTCAGGCCAGGCGTGGTCCAGCAGGGACATGTCACCTGGCAGGGATGTGCATTCCAGCAGGGATGGATGCTCGCTCACACTCTGCCACAGGCTTTAGAGGAGAGGGAGGGTGGTTCTCTTTATTTTGCTGTCTTGGTCTTCCTCCCTGTAGGCTCTACCCAGGTAGGTGCTGGGGCAGTGGGACCTGGGCTGGGTAGCATATTCTGGAGGAGGCAGCCGGAGCCTGATGGAGAGGCTGATGGGAGTGCAGGTGGGTGGCACTGCTGGCAGCAGGTGACGTGCCAGGGGGCTGACCTGGCCCCTCTCCAGGAGCTTGTTGAGGCACAGCAGCCCTTAGAGTCTGGACCCCGCAGGGCCCAGCAAGCCCAAGCCTGGTTCCCCACTGGTTTGCAATTGCTACCAAAGCACTGACTACTGCTTGTAGGCAAGAAGCACCTCCAAGTACTTGGCAGTGAGTGGTACCCAACCACTTTTAAGGCAGTGCCAGAAACCCATGCTGCTCTTACTATTTGCATCCTCCTGGTCTCAAAGCTCTGGGACATCTCTGGGGTTCCCAGACATGGGCAACATAAGGCTGCCACCTTGTAGGATACCTGCTGCATAGCCAGGGCCAGGAGAAATGTTTTGCTACCTCTGTGAGGCTGGAAGGAGTATCTGGGTGAGCCCAGTTGGCTGGGCTGCACCCACAGAGGATGCCACCATGGGCATGGCAGGTGTTGGGACGGCTGATGCTTCTGAGACATTTTGGTGGTGGATGGGGACAAAGCTTGCAGCTTTGAAGGCAAGTCCAAGCCAGGGAATTGTGATTCAATGTATAGACAGGAGTAAAATACTAAATAAGAAATAAATAGAGAAGAAAGTCATAAATAGAATTGAAAGATATTAAAATAACAATAATAATAATAATAATTAAAAAGGTATCATTGTGGTAATGTGAGAATGCAGGAACAGCACTGACCCTGTGACCCTTAAGAAATGCAGTAGATGCAGGCTGGCTAGCTTAAGATACATATATATATATATAAGTATATATATATATATATTTATACAATTTTTCATGTTAATTTAACAGCTAGTTTTAAAAACCCTTTAAAATTAATTTTAAAAATGTATGTAAGTACAGATTCATGTAGCTTAAAAACTACCAGAACAGCTTCTTTTGAAGATTTGAGAGGGGCAGCCCTTCCAGCATTACCCAGAAGTGTGGGTGCAAGGGACAGTGCTAGAATGGCAGCAACACCAAAGGAGATGAGGCAGAGCCCCATGAGCAGTGGGGCTGCCTGCAGCTGGAGGTGGGAAGGGAGCCCTGCAGAAGGGGGTCCAGGGAACAACATTCCCCTTGCCTCATTGTGTTTTCAGGCAGGCTGTGGGCTGGGCACATGCAGTGGTGTTTAAATTAGACTGAGTCCAACATGTGCTTTCCACATGAATTTTAAGGTGAGAGAAAGTGGGGGCCAAGCTTCTCTATATGCCAAGTCTGCTGCCAGGAGACTCTCCTCTCTCTCTCTCTCTAACAAGACAGGGATACAGCACTTAATCCTCTGGGCTCTTAAACAGCTCAGATGAAATACTGGCCCTGTGGAAGTCTGTGAAGAAAAGCTACCCTTTAACTTCAGTAGGGAATGCAGCTAAGCTCTTGAATAGATACAGCCCTCCACTGGAGCTGCCTTCAGAACTTGCAGGCTAAGCAAGACCAGTCCCCACATGCCTGCCCACCCCACTGCCCTCTCATTAGCTCTGCTTGTTGCTAATTTGCCTTGTCAGCAATGGTACTGGACTGTTCAGGCAGCAGCCCTCCACCGACTGCCTGCTGCCAGGGGGAAGCATCAAGATCCCCAGTGTTCCTGGGAAAAGGCTCTCAAACGCTGTGCTCAGCTGCCTGCTCAAATCTGATGGACAAATTGCCTCCTACCACTGGTCCCTGGATGGCTGGGAAGCTCAGTGGCTTCTGGTACCCAGTGGGGATGCATACACCTCCAACTGGTCAGCGTGATCCTGCCTGGTTCCGTGATCAGCATCACTTTCAGCATCTAAGCCGCCATGCCTGAGGCCTCAGCTGAATGTTTAGGCTGGGATTTAAATCCTGGCTGCTTGTGGTGGGAGAGGCCCTGGTTATGCAGGTGGTGTGGTGAAATGTGTGCTGGCTCCCTGTGCATAGCAGGGAAGGCATCTCTTAGCATTTCTGAGAAGAGAAAAGAAGCAGTACTTCTGGTGTTTTCTTATTCCAGTAAATATATTACTTTTGACCTAGCAATAGTGTATCATTAAGGTAGCGTATTGACAGTCTAGGCACTGTGGAAATACTTGTACCTGAAGCCTGATATTTGGTTGTAGCTTATTTGTAATTCTTTCCAAGATCACTAGATATTCCTGGACCTTAAACTACAAGATCCTCTAACACTGAGCATGAGGAAAGAGAGCAAGGTGACAAACCAGTTTTTATGGGAGTAGTATCCTATAATTCCCTTGCAAATCTCAGAGATGGCTACCCCAGCTCAAGCTCAGCTTGCAGAGCCCCACTGTGCGGGTGGTAGTGCTCAGCTGACTTTCAGCTTCTCCTTGGTGGTATTTCAGTGGTGTAATGATGTGGGGTAATTATTCATTATTCCATGCACTATCATCACAGAAAAACTTGTAAAGTATTTAGCCTTGCAAAGGAGATCTTACTTAACAGCTCTGCACAGGTAAGAGCACTGGGAGGGAAAAGCAGAGAGGCATGTTGGTTCACACAAACCAGACAAGTTCTGGTTTCTTCTGCTTCCTCTGCAAAGTGAAGAGGATCTGAGGTGGCTGGAATGGGGCAGCATCACCTTGTCCTCTCTTGGGCCCCTTCCCAGCCTGTTCCCTTGGCTGTCCCTGGTGCAGAGATGCCCACAGCCATTGTGTGCAACAGGGCATTGGGGTCGAGGGCCGAGGGAGGGCCTGCCATTGCACACGTCTGAGCCCAGGATGAGGTGTGTGAGGAATTCGATGGCCTTGTGTCACTGTGGCTGTGTGCTAGTGCTCGAGCTCTTTCTTAGAGCAGGACTGGGGACTTGAAGTTTTATACAGCAATTGTGCTTCCCTGCCAGAGCTGCTGTCTCTAAATTGAAGTTAATAATTCCTGACCCAGTGAAAGACAGAGGAAATCTTTTCCTGTACCACCATGCTTGTGAGCCCCTACATAGACCACAACCAGGGAAAGCAAAGCCCAGGCACTCCCTGGGGCACTGAGCCACGCTGGAAAGCTTTTGTTTGCTGAGGTCTATCTCCATCTGGGTCACCAGAGGGCTGGCAAAGACGCTCGGCATGATAACATCGAGAGGGGCATCCCCTCCACAGACTTCTACAGCTCTGTGCTGCATCTCAGAGTACAACATGGAGAGGGAGCAGGGTAGAAGGAGGTGGGCTAATGTTGCCTTTTTTCTGGTTCTGGTTATCTTCCCAGCCCTGTTCCTCGCTCAGCTGTGGGAAGCCATAGCTCCTGCTAAAATGATGTTTGCAGTGTGAGAGAATCTCTTTGCTGGCGCCAGAGTCCCCATCCAGTCCCTGCCCAGGGCAGAATATGCGTGTGTGAGTGTGTGTGGGTGGGTAGTGGGATGGGAGAAGCTGCTGGAAGGCCAGTGGGCTCTTGCTCTCTGGAACAGCAGAGCTGGTGTCAGATAAAATAGAGGGAGGAAAAAAATGCCCAGGTTATCGGGGAGGTGGCAGCGGGAAGGGATGCATCCCATCCCAGATCTTGATGGAAGAGGTGCTGCTCCACAGCCTCCCTCTCCCTGCCTGATCCCAGGAAGCCGGGAGCTGCCACGTTCATGCCGGAAACACTCCACTTACATTAACATATGTACTTTATACGCCTAGGGTAGCTAAAAGTGCTGCATTCAGATCCCCGAGGAGGCAACTGCTGTCCGGAGTCCAAGCGGCTGGATTTGCTGGGCTGTCCCCGTGTGCTCTCTCCGAGTCTGGCGGGCGCTGGGCTGCAGCCCTGTCATGTCGCCCAGGAGATCGCCGCGCTGTGCTCCTTCGCTTTCATCCTCAGGGCAGCGATGCTGGAGGTCTTGCGGTCCGGCTCGCTGTTCAGCTCGTAGCCATTGAGGCTGGGGCTCATGCCGGCTGTGCCGAAGAGGCCACCCATGTGAGTCTGTCCCACGTGGCTGCCGGGCCCGGAGACCCCAAGGAACTCGGAGACGCCGCCGGCCGCGTGGGGGTGGCCGTGGGGGGACATGCAGGAGGGCACCGTCTCGCAGGGGACGACGCAGGCGGGCACGGGGGAGGCGGCTCCGTTGTTGCCAATCCAGGAGGGGTTCTGGATCTGGGGGTGGGAAAAGAAGCGTCAGGGCTG